TATTAAATCTGAATTATAAATTTAAAAAAATACACGCGTGATATCGCACGAAAATACACATAAATAGCGAAATGTCACAAAAATGTCAAAATTAAAACTAAATAATAGTAAATTATACTTCTGTAAAATAAGACTATTATTTTTTTCAATTACCGTTGATGTAAAAACGCCAAATATTTAATTTTTTTTAATTGTCAACTGATGTTCTACTGTTTTCGACGAGTCAACAAAGTAATTTGCCTAAAAAATTATGTTTCCTCAAAATGCAATTTCCCTAATATAATTCAACTTTCTTAGTGTTGTCGAAAATTAAGTCGATAAAATGTTTCATTGAAAAATGTATTATGTAAACTTTTGCATTTTGCATCTGTGTTTGTATATTTAACAGTTGTGTATCAGGAAAATATCGGAAACACGTCTAGTCACGAAAGAAAGATAAATACCACAGGGCATATTGACTTTCCAGAATGATTTGAGGAGAAAAAAAGCGTACATTGCGTGTGCTACACACATTTACGATATGTCTGAGTTTTATTAATGAAAGAGTGTCGCGAATTGCTGACGCAAAATTATGTTATTCTTTACAAAATATTCAGTTCTCTTTATTAAAAACGTAACGATTCATCGGAGAGAAGTTTTATACCGAAAATATATTTGTCAAGAGTCGTTATTGCAAAAAATACAGATACCTATGCAATATAAATTACAAATTTCCAACGAAAAATTATTACCAACAAATATTTAATAATAAAATCGTAGCGGAAAAAATGCTTGGATGAAACTGTATTGAAACTTTGTAAATTGGAAAAAAATATCTGAAAAAAAGAATTGATTGTTCTCTTCTAATTAATTTCTAATAAATTTCTATTATATTCTCGAGTATTTATTTTTGGTAACGCGAATTGAGAGATAAACGTGTATTCTTGCTGCTCTGTGTCTCTTTCGTGACAAATTTTTCAAAATGTTCTCTTCTCATTGAGGAAGATAAACCAATATAAAGGGATGATGTAAGTTGGTCGAGGTCGACCTCTCGTTACACAACTCCCAGGAAGTTAAATCTCGCGTGTTCGTAGCAGACCATAGCACTTCCGAAAACTCGAAGCCGAGAGGAAGTTTGAGTTGCCTCTGTTGGAAACTCGAGGAGAGATGACACGTCGAGCTTTTCATCAGAGGGATGAAAACCCTCTTGTCTTTTCCATGGCTATTTGGATGTCTTTGAAAGAACGATAACGCGTCACGAGCAACCGGCTCGAGCTCCAAGAGGGTAGGATATAGAATCCTCAAAATATTAAATACACGCGGTACGGGGAAAAGAGAAAACATTTTCTCTCTAATACAGTCTTATTTTCTGGAAATAGATGTGTTCTATCACAAAAATACTACACTATTGGGTTAGTCAGAAAGTCTTTTCGTATTTTAACGCGATTTTTAATACGACTAGCACAGGCGCGCGCTACGCGCACGCTATTATTATTTTTATTTAACGTGTTGTCAGTGAACACAACCTGTCACCGCGATGACAGATAGTATATACGTTTTATAAACCATATCAGGGAAAAGGGTAAAAAAGAGAATATTATATATATTATATGTAATATTCTATATCTATATATAGTACACACACATACGCATATATGTATATATATATATATATACTGTAATCACGTGACCGAAGTCAGTAACACCGCCGCGGTCGCGCAGCCGAGGTCAGTGACTCCACCGCAGTCGCGCGACCGAGGTCATTGACCCGCCGCGGTCACGCGACCGAGGTCAGTGCCCTGTCAAGGCCGCGCGGCCGAGGTCAGTGCCCCGCCAAGGCCGCGCGGCCGAAGTCAGTGACCCCGCCAAAGTCGCGCGGCGGATGTCAGTGACATTACTGTAGTATGTATATAATACATATAATACAATATAAAGTATAATATTATAAATATATAATAAATTATATGTATAATATGTATTATTTAATGTTATATATAATATAAATTACAGTCACGTTATTTTCACGTGTTGTTTTTCTACTCTTTCCTGTCACGTGACTTTAGTTACGTTTTTAATTTTCTCTATCGAAACCAAGCAACCAATTAGCAACGCGGAAAAGAGGCAACAATAGGTGCGAGATATTCGACTCCAAACGCGCACTTCTTGGTCCAAATGCCTTTTTTAATATAGGAGGAACGTGTTGTGTCAGTAAATTTAACCTGTCACCGCGATGACAGCTAGTATATACGTCTTACAAATCAAATAATACACATGATGTACATATGGAACATGTCAGAAATAACGCATAAAAATCAAACTCGAAAAATAAAAGAAAGAGAAAAGAGTGGAAAAACAACACGTGACTAAAGTCACGTGTCTTTAAAAAAAGAGAAACACATTTTAGTACGAAATGACTTTCTGATCACCTCAATATTATTTATATTTACAAATCTTTCAGAATCCTGTCGAGTTCAAATAGTTTTTCAAGTAAGTGATAGGACCTTTAATTGGAGCACCTTTAGTTTATCCCTTTAGATTTATCTCAAATCCCTCTCTAATTCTAACGCGAGATAAGAGCGGATAAATTGCAGCGACAAATCGCCTATTCTCTTCGAATGTCGAAACGCTCTTATCCGATAATTTTTCGACCAATTAGCCATATAGTGATTTGTCTTTCGAAGACACAGAGATAACTCTAGATTCCGACATGATTTAAAAAAATCTCAGCGTAGTAACGAAATAATCGCTTTGTAAGAAGAACAATTTCGACATTTCTCACGCGCGTCGTTCGAGTAGGTTTTCTTTTGTCGAGCCCGACTATACTCTGGTAATCCGTTTTGTCGACAGTAACGCAAACGCAATTTCCGTTGGTAACTCTGCAAAAAAGTGTCATGACATGGTGCCCGCGCAAGAAAAGAGTTAAGTTGGTTGAGATAAAAACGAGTCGCCGCGTTAAAATCCGTTTTTATCACAATAAAAATATTAGCTTATTGAATAATGTCTGTAATTTATTCACGAACATATCGAATTACATTTGTTATCAGTTTAATTAATTATCGCGTTGTAAATTAATAATTCTCACACGTTACAGAGAAACTTTACGAATAATTTTTTTCTGGCAGAAACGTTTTTCAGTGCTTTCCGGATTTATTTACAACTTTGCCAGAACATTCAAATACACACAATGTGAATTTAATCTTCAAGTACGAGAGTTTTATTTGATAAAACTTTTCAGGATGATTTAATTACGAAAGTGTCCAATATTGAAAGTTATATGTAAAATATTCATCCCATTTGGATATTCAATTCACATTTGACATTAAATATTAATTATTTTACGAATTCAGTTTCTCACAAAGGTATATTTGCACAAATTTTAACAAAATTAAACAAAAATTTAATTTGGTCTAATTAAAGAAGACTTTATTATTAAAACTGAAATAGGTACAAAAAGAAAGTACAAATTGTAAAATACATATCGAAATTGATGCAACGTCGCATCTCCCGCGCATCTTGAAATTATATATATCGTAATTCCAATGTATAAAGAAAAAATATAACTTATTATTGTGTGTATTAATGACGTATCGCTAGAAGAAGTAAGAACAATTCTCATCGCTAGTGTGCGAAAACGAGCGAAATTAATCGTTTAGAACTGCGTACTCTATACGTATATACAGACGGATTTTCCCGACCGAGTCATAACTCATATAAGATTCGATCTGACGGTTAATTTCCGCAGCGAGAAAGATGATACGCGCTGGATCGCGAACATCAGGCCGGTTTTTCTAGAAGTTTAATTGGATCTACAGGCAATCTACTCCAGACCGCGTGCATCCGCGCGTGTGCAAGAGCATTGCGCTTCTGCTTCTTTCGAGTTTCGCCGCCAATTGCGCGTTCCGATCCTCTCTGTTTTTTTTTTTTTGTTTTTGTTTTTTACGAAAATTCCTGAAAATATCCATCTCTCGCGGAAGTTCGTGCTCCGTTGCGCACTGTCATTACAAATAATCGCGTTAATCGCAATTTTTCACCTTCGTAGTTTTGTGAACTGCGATAATACGGTGTTAAAATGATAAAAAAAGAGAACGTTACGTTGTGAAACTCCAATTTTGGATCTTACAAGAAAATCCTGACAATACACGCAGACGACACGAGGGAAAATCTCGCGTAAGAAGAAGGACTAAAAGTCACTTCTTCCTTTTACAAGCCACGGTAATCTTTTTCATTCTGTTAATTTATATCGCGACGGTGCTCGGGACATAAAAAAAAAAAAATCACAGGAGTATTTGGGTTAATTGAGAAGCTGCGGAAGCACTGCTCGGTACACTGCGTTTCATTTCGTTTTCTTGCGTCTCTCGAGCGAAAACATCTTCGAGATCCAACCGTTTTCCTTCGAGGATTCTTCGCTAATTTGAAGCGTCGAAGCGAGAAAACGACACGAACGAATATTGGCGACGATACTGTTTTTGGAAACGGTATTTCTTCCTTCGACGTGAATAAAATTAAGAAACGATCCGATTACAATTTCTCTTTTCTTTTTCTCTCTAACGTTTTTTCTACATTAGGAAGAAACGAGAAAGAGAAAGACGAAGAATGTATTCGACGAGAGACGTCGAGCATGTGCCGTTCCTCTTCGACGATAATATCCGACCCTCGAAATCGTGCGACGGTTCCCGTAACGACTCGCGATCACACTACCGGTCGATTGCGAAAGCCTTCGGCAAATCGCGCGAAATAAAATCGCTTTTCCTTCCCGTTGAGAGAAAGTCAGGACTGAATACCTAACGAGTTCTCCCGAGGACATCTTTGAAGATCCAAATAGAATTTTAAAAACTCTGTAGGATGCGCGCGCGCGGTATAGTAGGACGCGGCAAAGCGTCTGTGTGAGAATCGATTTCCTAATTACGCGGAGAAAGGGGAATCCCGCAGGATATTGTAACAAAAGTCTACGAATAGAGAGCTCTCACAGACTCTTCGTGAGATATACGACGATCATAAAAGAGATCTCCTTTTGTTTTCAGTAACGAAACCAGCCAAGGTCACCCCGGTGGAGGATATTCAGCCCAAGGAGGAAACCTCCACGATCGAATCTTTGAAACCGTAAGTTCTCTGCTCGAATTACTTACATAACGTGTCTCGTATTGAAAATATTTTAAATGTCATCTTTATTTATATCACGTCTGAATATTAATGAAAATATTAATTTACGTACGTGCATTTTCTTGATATTTTGACATTCTCTTGTCTGATTTCTTATTATAGTTAAATATTATAGTTTGTGCCCCTAAGTAATTATTTATTTGAAATACAATTAAAACGAGCAACTAAAATATATATTATTGTTATTATTTTTATTAATTATCATTATCTAGATATATATTGTTTTACTCTGGAACACATGTTCTCAACAGAACCCGTCAATTTGCATGTAATTTGATTATCTTGCAATCGCTCAAATATCGAGATATCTTTATTTTCTCTCAATTTTGAAATAAATTATTCGAACACGTACACGTTATATGTATTATTATTCGAATATGTGCGCTCCCAATGATATCATATCGCTAATATTGAACGTGTAAATGGCTGAATATTACGTCGAAGTTCGAAATATGATATCAATGCGCAAAAATAGCTAACAAATGAAAAACGTTCTCTCTCTCTTTCTCTCTCTACTTGCGTATAACTTTTATTTTGCTCCGCGAGAGATCTACTCATTAAACGTCGCATTCATCATGTATAACCGAGTTCAGTCACTTTTATATGCATCAATAACCGATGCAGTACGTCAAAAAGTTAACTCGATTGTGAGCACAATTTTGCGTATAACAAGAACAGCTCGAAAACGTTTTCGGAACGGTGTGTAACGGCAAAAACCTTGGTATTGGTTTTTTTTTTTTTTTTTTTTTTTTTCACATGCGAAGGTTTCACTTCCCCAAAGGGCATCCTACGAAAACTGCATTTTATTTCCATCTAAATTGCTACATCTGAAAGCAATTAATCCTTGACAAAAGTCGTTTGTAGCGAAAATGTTGATTCCCCGCCGCGTAAAACTTCAAAGCAACAATTCTCTTTTAACAGTTTTCTCGACTACCTCTAAATTCTGTTTTTATTCATTTAAATCGGCTACTATTCTATGTTCTGTTCTTTTAATCGACTACTTCTAAATTATTTATTTTTATTCTTTTAATCGGCTATTACCGTTCTATTTTTTTAATTAGTTATCTCTCAACATACACGCTTAGAATCTCGTTTCCAGTGGGCGATGCAAAAATACATGTATATACAAATATATATATTATATTTCGTTAGCCGCACAGCAATCTGTACGGAAATGTTCCGCTCGGATAATAGCCAATTTTGTCCGGTTAATCCGCGAGCAAGCTTGCGCTATCTGCTTGCCGGTGAAGATTTGTCGTACGCTAGGGACACACACGTGCGAACGAGCGAGCGCGCCACGATGACCATTATCCGAGATAAGGTGGACGACGATCCACGAAGTTCGCTGTCAGTTTAAACGGGCGCGACCTCCCACCAATTCCTACTGTTTGCTCTGCTCGGTTTGTTCGTGCATCGAGCCGAGCGTTATTTAATACGATCCATCTAGGATTGATTCGTTGTCGGTCAGCTAAGTAACCCACGCCTGTTCAAATAACGAGAGTGTTGTACGTACAAAAGGGTATCGTTACATCGATTTCGACGCCTATATAGCATCAACAATAGTCTTTTTCACAAAGCAAACTCGCGCTTGCGGTCATAAAAAAAAAAATACACAATTTCTAACAGAAAAATAAAGTTTACATAAAAAAAAATAGTAAACACAAAAACATACATACATTATTTAATAAATACGCGTATAAATATTTTGTCAAATAATTATATA